TATTATTAAATTAAAGGTGTGGTGGTAGCCTTTCCTGTCGGGCACAGACGCTGCAAAGTTTAGAGCCCCAAAAATGAATCTACCAGCGAGAGAAGCGTCTCGGATAATTTATTTTGAGGCCCTTAATTAACTAGCATCTGCGTTTGTGCCGCGGCCGCGATTTTGGGCATTTTTTTGGTCCGCGAATCGCGGCCGCGATTTTTGCATTTTCTCAACAAAAAACCACCCCCAGAAAGAAAAAAATAGTTTAAAAACATCAACAAAAACTGGAAATAATATTTTGAATAAAAAAAAAGAAACCAATTACTCCTGGAAAGAAAGTTTATTTTCACTTTCGCTTGATCACTTCATCGTCTCTTCTCACTTGTTAACATTGCGTTGATTTGCAATTTTCATGTGAAGAACATAAGTAGGCTACATTACATACTATTTATATTGCTGTTTCTCTTTCATGTTTCCCTCTTAATTGTGTTTTATTTTTTTCTCGTTATTGTTCTGATGTGTTGTTTTTCCATTTTATTTGGTGTGTTAACATAGCGTAATGTTCTTCCTGCCTTTTTATTAAAATGTTTTATTGTTATGTTACAGCGTGTGATCTCCACCAAAACCGAATACTGACACTGGCAGGCCTCCAGGCTTTTGTTAGATCCTGTACTTTTTCTTGAATTACACGCGTTAATGGTTAAAACGGCTAGTCTGATCTATGGATGGGTTGACACACGCCCTTATTTGTCAAAATTTTGTGGTTGTTTATTTTCTGTTCTAATTTTGATTTCATTCTGTAATATGGAACCTTTATTTTTCACGTTTTTTACACTCTGTGTGTGGGTGGTTGGAGGGTGCTCTGGTGTGGCTCGCTTCTTCTTTCCTATGAAACATCTATTGTCCTTATCTCTCCTTCTTCTTTTTTATAATGTTTGTTACTCTCTTGTAACATCTCTAATCTTCTGGCGCTCACATGACCTTATGTTGTTGCGAGCGCCGTAAAACCTCTACTAAAACTAAACCCTCTGTGTGGCTGCAAATGATATATTCTGGATGCTTAAAACAGAGCAAAAGAAATGCTGGTGTTTTAGATGAAGTTATCTCTATCAACATATTGATATATACGTCGTCACTGAGAGTTGAAAGCTTGAAAATTAATGGCAACTTTTGCCATTTTTGTGGCAACTCTTGGCAACTTTTGGCAACTTTTGGACCC